GAAGTCACGATGGGAGCATCTGGAGAGGAAAAGATGGTGTGCATAAATAGTTTCACGCTAAAAGAAGTCTCTCAGATCCTGGCAAGACTCGCCTGATGTGAAGTTTGAGGCAGACTTTCATAGAACAGATTTTTCCTCTGGTTGGCACTCAATTTTTATTGTGAAGCAAGACGCCTAGTAGGATGCCGGCTTCGCTGTGGTGATGCTGAAGCGAAAGAGAGGAGGCAAGGTTAAGGTGAATCATTTCTGGTGATGTCGCATCCTCGCTGCACACAACTCTTTCTCATCTCCTCCTGGAGGATTCCCTTTTCGGGCAATGTTTCCACCTTCTTAATTCATCATTTCCCTTCCTTCCCTCTGAGCTTTGGAGACGACTGATTAAGAACTTCAAATGTCTTCTCTCTGTTGCATGTGGTTCCATTCATTTATAAAAGGATACTTGCGAAACTTTGGCGCAGCCAAAGATTAGTCAGTGAAACTTGTAGTCGTAAACGCCTTTTTATATGTCAAATAACTTTTACTCTGCTATTCTTAGGTTAGCATCATGAATTTTAGCCAATTTTCTGTTTCAAGTCAATCTTCCTACTTGATGGTAATGAGATTTTTTTGTCGTAATTGTCTGAGAAAATAGCAACGCTGGCAAAGACGTTGGCTTCTTTTATAGACAGAATAATGCTATCAATAAAAGGACAATATCATATTATAATATTGTATGATAATTGGAGAGATCAGAACCTATTATGCGTTGTTTCTAAGTTCACACGATTTGTATTTCCTTCAGGAAAAGGTTGCTTTCTATTCCAGAAACCAAACATCTCAACAATCTGAACTGATTATGATGTACATGGCTCGCTTTGAAATAGTTTCCCGTTGACATGAACTTTTCCCATTACCCTTACGACCTCGTGAAGATTTTAAAGCTGCACTTTTGAATTACACCTTCATTATAGGGTCACTGGTAATCGGATTGTTATTTATCAACTCCATTGCTTCAGAATCGTACTATTTGTTATTAGTTCAGTTTGCCAATGGTAACCAGTAGAGAAAAGGTAACGAATAAGAAATAGATTAGGAAAACTAATGTTGTGACAGCTATCCTCGGCGTGTAGTGGGTATTAGTGGTTTTTCACGGCGCCATCTCCACGGTTACCATCCTACGTAATTTCCACGTATAGCTTTATGTGACTTTGTTCGAATTTCCGAAAACTGCTGTGGGTATTCGAGCATGTATGTGCATGGAGCTCTGTACATTCATTAATCAAAGTGTCATTTTCCATCATCTACAGGCGATGCTAATTTGAAGCTGCCCTTAATTTGTACTCTCCTCAGAGTTGTATTCGTTTAAACCTTCATTTCCCCCACTCGTTGCCATCGCTGGGTGAATCTGCCTCCGTGCATTTGAAATCGAAGTAAAGATTTTCTTTCAACCAAGTTAAAATTTTACTATTTTTGACTTCTTACCGCTTGTTTTCTGGTCAATATTCTTCAATGCCATCCATCAATTCGGCGTTTAGAGCAGAGCTTTCTTCCTAATGTTTTTTTCGGACTTTCTTCTCTCTTACCTGACCTTTTGTTTTTCATCAAAGTGCTCATGTAGGTGACAGCAACGTTCCATTTGTCTCGGGAACTAGCTGGAGCTAACTGATGGATCTGTCTGGTAGAGGAACACAGAATACAATTTGAAGCTCCTGCTTCGAGCTTTTCTGAAGCTCCGGTCGATGATCGTTTAGGTGTTCGCTCATTTGATATCCTAAGTTGTTCAGTCATTAATCATTACTTTATGTGGATCATCATAGAATAGCATGACGGGCCCAGCACAATTATTCTTCGATACCCAAGTGAACGTAGGTAGTGGTTTCGGTCGACGAAAGTGCAGAGCTCAGGATTTTCACCCCGACAAATGCGCATGTACCGAGAAAATCCGAGCATTGCCCTTTGATGGCACATTCGATAGCGATTACCGCTTCTCCAATCTGCTTACGAGTATTTCAAGCCATCATTTCTCGTTTCATAAATCTGGCAAGAGCTGCCCTGCTCTCCGATTGTTCTTTTTCCACATGCCACTTCGTCGTCTGCTCTCTTTAAAGTATCCCTTCCCTGGGAAGGACACTGGTAGTTTTCGCTTGAATGCATAATTCCCATTGAACTTACTGGAATTGTGTAGCATTTTCACGTCAACTTCCGTATCGATTACATTTACTTAGTAACAGTTTGTTTTTTAGTAATTTCGTTCGTGGTCACTTTTCTAATACGTCCATTGGCGACCACTTATCGATTCCGTTTACCAATTTCGGAGGGGGTACTATTTTTGTTATGGCTTAATCTCTTGAATTCGCTTTCGAGGAAAGGGGACCAGATCGGGGAATCCACCTTTACGGAGACTGTATTTGTTAAATTTGGGGAGAAGGGCTGTTCAGAGAAAGGGAACAAGATGTATTTAGTGGGCTTTTAGATTTTTAGATTTCCTTTTATGCTAAATGTATTTAGGGGGGTGTTTTTTTTAAGGAAAGCATACTGTAATAGTCAATACTCGACATTATGTTCGATTTTGATCTGAACTATTCGGCATACCTGTTTAGGTTTTTCTGGCATTTTGTAGAGAAGGACCTTGAATTACTGTCAAGACGCTACTGAACAACTTTCTGTTACCTGTCACAGAACCGGTTCTGGTAGCTGCAAAGGGCGCTTTCACGTTCAACATTCCTGCTGTTCTGATTATTTTCATTGAATCTATTTTCTAGTAATCTGTTTGAGCGAAAATTTTCTTCGAGTTTACCTCTAAGCAACTTGTACGCCACCTACCTCGTTGTGTATTCCATTTTCTTCCGACGGATAGAGCGCGAACCAGCACCGAGCCACCCTACCATACTTCATTGCCGTTCCGAGCAGTTTTCTTATCGCAATTTCTCCACGTCTTCAAGGTTCATCACGAATTTTCGTTTCACCACACGTCTTTCTTCGTCTGCTTTCCAAAACCGATCCTTTTTTGTTTATTTACCCTCTATACCTATATTTGTACGCATTCTGTCTCAACTAGGGCATTAACTCTTTGGCTCCGAGTTGTATCGTCGTGTTTTCGCGATTGTTTTGTCACTTGAAAAACCAAATTTTGTAAAATCAATTGTGATTTCAGGGTCAACGTGGCCGTTTTTACGGCCAATGCTCGATTTCGTGAAAGTCGTCACATGTTTAGGTCAGTGGTGATATTGCTTTTTTTATGTTTTTAACTTTCAATTGTATTTAATTAGATTTCATTGAGCAGCTTGCAAGAGTTCAAGTAAACAAATAAATTATTTAGAATGAAATGAAGTCATCGCGATCACGTCCTGCCAATTCGACAACAATATCATCTCGATGTACTCGTATTAGTGAAAAAGTCAGCGCTAGCATTCGGCCAATATTACCATGGATGGCTGGTTCTTATTGTAAGAACTTTATGTGCATACATTTTTTTGATAAGGATTATTTTCATTTTTTGTTTTCAATATTAGTTTCGCTTATGTGACAGCAGTAAAATAGTAACAAGAAAAGAGTATTATACAAGAGAGTAACTCGAGTGGGTTGTGGTGGCCCTGGCAGTAAGTTGCTAGCCACGTACTTAACTCAGATCACAAGTGGTCAGCACAGATTGGCATACTATTAAATCCCATGTTATTTGATCTTCAGGAGATGCTCATTGAGTAAGCGATTAATCATTTGGGGCTGGAGGTAGGTTCCAGTGGGCAGGGAAGCGTAAAACCGAACCCTATGCGGCAAATGAATATTGTAATGAAAAGAGTTTGTAAAGGAAGTAGACCAAGCGTCACTCCACCCCCTCCTTCCCTAACTAATTGTTTTCCGAATTATTGGCTGTATAGCTGAATTTCAGAAAATGACATGCTCTGCGGGAACCCCTTCGTCTTGTGGTCGTTACGTAATTTTCTACGAATGGCAGGGCTAGCTCATTTCTTCCGTTTAATTTTAGCTTTACGGCCTCCTTAGGTTCTCTTTAGGTTCTCGTTATGAGCCTTATCAGTGGCAGTCTTGACCCTCACAGACACAATTAAATATGTATAACGATGCAATTTGAGCGTGACGAATTTGTGTAATTTTGGAATCCAGAAATGTCACATATACTTTCGTCTTTAATTCGTCACGACATACAGTAAGAAAATGATTGATGATTTGAAATGTATAGATTTATTGTCTTCCGCATACCTACTGTTTAACTGAAAGTGTAATTATTGGGAACACCTATTATGCAAGGCGACCCTTGGGCTAAAGAAGGGATTACTGAAAAAGCCCACTTTATTTGGAACATTTCCTGATTTTGATGTAGGGACGGTGATGATGTAGTGGATAGTGGCGCAATATCACACCATAGTTCGGGGATCAAATCCGCACCGATACTCGCCCAGTTCAGTAATTTAATGGGTACCGACCTCGTTAGGAGAATAAAAGCACTCACTCGCATGGCTGGTCACCACAAGTTATTGTACAAGCATGCATGCATGCATTCTAAAGTCCACAACGATCCTGAAAGAAAGTCGAATGCGGGGCGCATCCTTGGGATTAATAACTCTGTCCCTGTGTAGGGAGAAATCAAACACTGCTGGGAAGTTGGTAGACGTTAAAGACTAAAGTTACGGAAAATCAAGAAAAATTAGTGGTACCAAAGAGATTTTTTGAATACTTTTGTATTTGATATCGTTATAATGCAAAGAATAGGAAAAAGGACTTGAAACAAAGTTATCAACGTTTTTCATCGCCAAGAAAGCACTGTCACCACTGCTGTTAGTAATACGTGGATGGTTTTAACCATTTCCCTGACTTCCTTACTTGTACTTTGGATCCGTACTAATAGAAGTACTGTATTGATCAGTTGTTTATGATTCAGGCTTACCCATTGTTGCATTTCGCAACGATCTGAATGGGTCGGCGCTGCAGTACATCAGACTTACGTGAGTTGTGTCTTTTCACTTATTTTTTCTATTCATCTTTCATAATTGATATTCAGAAGCATGTTCGACGCGTTCAGCCCCTATATCTATAAGAATAAGCTAGGAGTGATCGAAATAAGTAGGGCGATGAAGTTACACAAAGGTTCGTTACTTATCTTTGCCGTAACCTAAGGCTACTTTTTCTCGCCCACAAACTCATTGGGAGTTTTCCAAGCAGTTTTGTGTTGCAACTGTATTTGTAAAGGCCAGATACACTTGGGAATCAACCCAATAGGGGAATTCGTGATTAATGTACAAGGCCCAGCTCTTCAGACGTTCATTTGATTCATTGAGTTCATCAGAATTTCATTTGATTTGTGGCATGTATCAGCTAGGAAGCGGAATACCGTATTTTGACACTGCAATTTATTATTCTTTTATTTTGGGTGAAAATTATTTGCGGATGAGGAGTGTGTGAATCAGTCTATACCCCATCATTTCAGAGGACAACTCATTCAGTGAACATCAATTTGAGTTTGTGGTTCGGTTCAAATTAGAGCTTGAAGTTCATCTATCCAATTATTTTGGAACACGAGTAATGTTAGCGGTGAGTTTCCTGGCCAACTTCTTTTAGTTGTTTTTGATTTCTTTTTCTTCCAAAATGATGATTTTTCATAAATCTCACCTAACTACTAGTAATTTAGAGAACAGCCTATCAGACCCTTATGGATTATTAATTTAATTTGTGATTTTTCATATCCGTTGCCAATCGACTATCTCATAGATCTACGGCTCCACGTTGAATGGCTTCGGTACACGTTCATGCGATGTCGATATGAGCTTGTCGTTCCCCGGTGATCCTCCGAAAAAAGTAACAGTTGGTGGGGCAGTTTGTCCGGATACGGTAATGAGAGAGGTGGCCAAGGCGCTAGTGGACTATCCTAATGCCCGAGACGAACAGTATATTTGTGCGAAAGTTCCTATTGTACGTTTCCGTGGGAAGGACTTGGATATCGAAGCGGAGTAAGTTGAATTTACTTGTAATTCTCGATATTCTCGTGGAATGTAGTAGAAAAACTTTACGAAAAGCGGTTGTCTATGGTTCAAATGTGGTTCTGACTCTATACAACTTTTTGAAAACGGTCATCGCCAAGAATAGGTCTTCAGCCATTACGTGGTCGCGAGGAACTCAGGACTGCATCTAAAACTTTTGTACCCCGTAGGTACCAGTTGAAGGCTTGTCTGACAAAGGGGAAAATCACAATAAGTTGACGTAACGGATCCTGGTCACAGAATAGCTGTTAGGCGTACTGTAGTGGATCCACGATTTGTTCGTTTGGTAGTGATCGTCTCTTAGGAGATAGGTAGGAGTCTATAGAAGAACGAGCAAAATCTCATAATATTTGAAATTTCTGCTCCGATAACCGCAGCAAAATTGGTTCGGTAACTTATTAATTCTGCAAAAAACAAGCGCAGTGGGAGGTCTCATGTCATGTGCTGCCATCTCGTATGTATAATTTATTACGTTTTCATGTGGACGAAATTTCAGTATGCCTCCTACGAAATGAGAAATGCCATCATAAGTGTATCTATAAGGAGGTTTGAAAGCAAAGGGGCTGTTAAATTCTTGAAAGTCCTATTTTGACAGCCTTTATTGTTTGCAAAGTGATAAGTAGTAGTACCAGAAGTATAGTAGTAATAGTAGTAGTAATTGGTATAGTCTAGATCTCACTGTTTCCTTCTGTTTTGCTCCTCGAAGCCTGACCCTCATCTGATTCTATGATTATGAGGCAGAGAAGGAGGTTGTGATCTATCAAGAAACGTCGTGCAATGCTCTTGTCTTGAATTTTTGAACACTGAATTGATAGAGGGTTGTTTTAGTATCAGTTACCGGAATGACTTGGCACTGCACAATACTCAACTTCTTCGCCAGTACTGTAAATGGGATGAAGATCGTTTACCTACGCTTGGAATTTGGGTGAAAACGGTCAGTCACAGCGATTCAGATCGTTCGGTTTTCTTGACTACGTCGAAGTCCAATCCTTGACTTTCAGTGGGCAAAACGTTGTGGTGTTGGCGATGCATCGAAGGGATCACTCTCATCATATGCATGGGTTCTGATGTTAGTACATTATTTGCAAAGAACAGAGCCAATCAGGATGCTGCCGTACCTACAGCTTGTAAGTTTTGAAGAGACTCTTCCTGGGGAGGTCGGAGACAGGAATTTTCTCGAAGGATTTAGCGGCAGGGGTGAATACAGAATGGCCTCATCTTGTTAGCAAAGCCTGCTGGACATTTTCTAGACTTTGTCCTTTATGAAAGGAAACTCATGCTCTCTGTATGCCTATTTCCTTAGAAACGAGCAGGATAAAGTGTAGGGGAAGTTCTGCCGGAAGATTGAGTTTTTTTTAGGATAGACACTGTGTTAAGCTCATGAAGCAACCAAATCAAACAAGCTATTAAATGTTTTTGCTATTAACCAGCAATAGGCATGCCATAACTATGGGTTCAGGGTGTGAAAAATCCGGCGGAATGCCAGTATGTGAACGGTTGGAATGTGGACTTCTGGAAATTTGTGGACGTAGGCTCCTTTTTATCTTTCTGTTTTTTTTACGATAATCCCAATTTAATCAAAAAGTATCGTTCGCAGTGGTTTTGTGAGCTCCCTCCTTTTCGATTCCCAAATTTTCAATAATTCCAGGTTGGCCAATCGCAACGCGTCGGAATTAGCACATATGAGTTGTTTGTGGGTTTTCTGGACTATTTCTCAAATCATTTCCAGTATGACGCTCATGTGAGTTTTTGAGTTATATTATTCCACATTAAGATTGTTCGTTTCCATTTCTATTCTAATTGAAATTGTTAAGATAATCCAAATCAATTTACCTGGTCAAGTTTCGAAAAGAGGCAGATGGTATCGATGTCCAATGGTAATACAAGATCCTTTTGAACTTGATCATAACCTTGCTCAAGGAGTCGATGACGACAGTGAGTGCTGCGTCTATTAATGTTTTTTTGACGTAGAATTCCTCAAAAAAGGAGTTTAACGAAAATTTGACTGGGCCCTGGTTTGTTCTGTATTTGTGGAATTTCACTTGACGTCATCTCTCTACATCCGGTTGGTAGCGGTGTGTCAGGGCGATGTATCTATACCGATTGACATTAGGTGCTGGAAAAATCAACGGTTAGGAGCATCAATAGGTTGATTGTGGTGCAACCAGGAAATAGTTGAAGCCAGGTGAAATTGAGTCACACTTTTTGCCCTATGAACCATCAGACTTGTTCTGTCAGCGGTGGCCAACTCATCATAAACGGTAGCGATGGGAAGGAAAAACGTTGGGAAGTACACCCACCACAATTAAAATTCATATTATATTACTCGTAAGTGCAGCCTACAGTTCACAATCGCATCGTCCACATTCAGTCTCCTTTCTATCTGTTCCGTGCATTTTCGACGGTGCGGAATTGCAAGGGCTAGTCATTGAAAGAAATTTTAACAAATCCACGAGTAGGAAAAGAGGAAGGAGTTCAGCCCTCGTCATGTTTATTCTCAGATGGAAGCTGAACATTGCTCATCGTCATTTATTCTTTGAAAAAAAATCCTACCCATCTTTTAGTGTTCCGCTACATCCGCTCATGCATGAGACATTCTCGAGCTGTGTTCATGGATAAAAATCTACGTGCCGAGTTTTTAACATCGAAAGGTTTTCGGAGAGGAGCATTTGAAAAAGTGAGAATGCCAGATGATCTGCTCCGAGAATACGGCGTAAGTTGCATTCGATTCGGTGTTTTATTTGGAATGGTTGGCTTATCTTTCAGGATTACTATCGGTTACTTGTAGGTACATATATCGGTTATAGGTACATCTACTTCATGCATGTGTACCGGTACAACAGCCTCCTCTACGTCAATTTCATGGACGTGACCGAACGATGAGTTGTAGCACGAATACGAGCGCATCGTAGTAGATTCAGTCTGTCTGCCCGGTAACAATGTCATCTGAATTGCCTTCAGTTCGCTGCCGAGATTGGAGGCCTATTTCAAGGGGTTTATTGAGTCTCCCAATAAGTAAAAATTATTTTATTACCTCTAGCATATGTTTTGTAATCCCATATGCGACTAAACCAAATACCTTCAATTATCTCTTTTTCGTTTTTTTATTTCAAAAGTGCAGGTCTTCCCTTCATAAAGCGAATTGTTGTGTTGGAGTATACTCTAGAAGTGGAATACAAAAATAACGAAAAAGTAAAATTTAATTTAAAAAAATCAAACCTCCAGAATCACCATTTTGTTTGTATATTAAGTGAAGATCTGTGCTTTTACCTATTTATGTGGGTTTGGTCATTGAGTTCCTTTTATCAATCCTTCCTTTTTCCTTTTTTTTGCCGACTCGATCGTGCATTCTCTAACTGTGTGCTGTTTTTATCGGCTTCTACAAAATCATTTCTCATTTTTTTTTCTTCTCTGAAATTCTGAAAAATTTCTCGAACGTGTCAATGGGCACGGTGTAAGTATTGTATTCTCAAAAGTTGGGGTCGTTACCGTAACACAGGGCTGGTCTGGATATGATTCAAATGCTTTGGATTTCGGATTGCGGAATTTCAAACAATCGATGGCCATAAAATCGTGGTGAAAACTCGGACGATGCATTGTTCTACAGTGCGGGGGTGGAGTTATCTGCATTCGGTTTTCTTAATTTTTTTTCTCTAAAAATAATGCCTTGAATCTCAACTCTTGGATTGCTGGGTGCGAAGAGTTTTTCTTGATCTGGCTGCCACTCAGCCATCGTGGAAAGCATTGAAAACAATCTAATGCTTACTTTTGCACGCCCCATAGCTTTTCTGTATGTATTTCTGTGGTTCCGCCTTCCGATTTCCGAAGCTTTCGTATTTCCCTTTCTCAAAATTGAGGAAGTGCTGGGTAGGGATTAGGCAACTGCAGCTGACGCTGTGCCAAGCCAAACCAGGAATTACTGTCGCTCTCTTGGCGTTTTTGGTCGAGTTAGTGGAAAATTCGGACCTTTGATATTTGTAATTTCATCTGTGCTATGCTTAACGCAAACCGGAGCTTTTACCCCTATGAATGGCCAAAATGGGTCTTGCGACGGCTCAATGTGATACGGTAATGAAGCCAACGTTTACCCACATTACCTGGTGCGATATCTACCCGTTGGTTTCGTATAATACCGACATGTGTTAAATGTGTGCATTATGTGCTTTACTGCTCTTTAAAAGGCCTTGTCATTAACTCATATTATGGTCATATCTTTCTGTAGTTTTGCGTACAAAGAAAAACATCACAAAAATATAAATTTCGCAGAGTATGTATATAAAAACGGAAGTGTTCAATGTAATCCTCAACTTCCATAAAAAAAATCGACTTTTTTGTAATTATCAATACTATCCTCAGTTAATGTTTCTCTTCGATAATGTTGCCTACGTGCATTAAAACCTCTTGATATGCGAATTCACTACCGTCATTTAGAGATTCAGTGTGATGTATTATTGTGTGTTTGTTTTGAAGTCCTGCAATATAGGGGACCGATGGTAATGGTGATAATCATGCACATGTTGCGAGATTTGGGCGTGGTTATGGGAATTGCCACCCGTCTTCAATCTTTTTCTGAGTCCTTTTTTCTCATATCTCTTTGAAGAATTTTTTGTGGCTATGAACAGATGGTGGAATTTTTCTTTTGAAAACTCATAGGTTTCTGAATGTGTAAGGTTGATTCCGTCGTAGTGCTACTTGTGGCACTCAGATTGCTTGCATGTTACGCACGTCTGGCGGCGTCTGTGATTAGTCGCTACCGATGCCCACCAATCACAGAAAACCGTCAGACGTGCACCGTGCCTGAGGTCTCCAAGAGTCACTGCGCCTGAAATTGACCTAACTCTTCTTTTTCTAACCGTTATGTGCTACAACAGTAATTGATTTTTGTTTATCATTGATCCATACCTCGAAGTGTTTGTTTTATGAAACTATTAATCTTTTTGTTTGTTTATTTCTTTTGTTTTGCTCTCTGTAATTTTTTTTGTCCATAAATCTTAAGGGCAATTCTGTTTTGAGCTTGATATGTTGTTGACAGTGTGTATTTCAAACGTCATTGGTGTATAAGACTTTCATTTTGAGCAGCCTTGAGCTATAGTTACTCAATGATGGTCACGTTACTGTAGCTAGAGGTAAAAAGTCTGGTGCTTAATCATGTTAACCACCTCGTAGGTATACGGTAACATGAAAATATTACGGTAGCTAGGTTTTAATACTATTTCTTCACCAGGTTTGTAATTTGGCTGGTTAAACTGGGAGCTGTGAAGGTTTTCACACTTCGTTCTTTATCGCTGTTTGATGCATCTGACCAATCCGACGTGGGTTCACCATGAAGGTAAGCTTCTTTCAAACATCAAGCCAAAAAGGATAAAATTATGTATTTTTAAGGAAATGACTCTTATGAAATCATGTGTTAAGCCTACTTTTTAATTCTGATGAAAAGAATATACCCCTACTTACGCGTTTTAGGTGGTGCAATCTACTCTGTGGATATCCATCCAACAATGGATAAGCTAGCGACCTGTGGGCAAGGTGATGTGAGTGTTGTCATCGTTATTTGAGATTATCGAACCGTTAAAACGTCACTGTCTATAAGGCATTACTCGTTCATGTCAGGTCGGAGGATGCGGTCTGGTCATCATCTGGAACCTACGTCCGATCCAGAGCGAGAGAGCTTATGCTGATACTACGTGTCACAAAATTTTGGCCAGAATACAACATCAAGGTGAAAAATGAGAATCCCGTTCAAATAGTCAAGCCGAGTTTTTGTTAAACTAACTTTTTAGAAGCTTTGTGTCCTTTTAGCTGGTGTGAACTGTGTGCGATGGTCTCACGATGGTGATCTGCTGGCTTGTGCCTCTGATGATAAAGTGATTACCATCTATGAGTATGGTAAGCGATGGGATACTTATTCTGAATATGTTTAGTATTTGTTTATATATGATGATACGATTCTGCCTCGAAAGTGTCTGAAAGGATGGGCTTAATAACCTATACATTGTTCGACCTCTACTGTCTGAACCTTCGGAAATGAAAAAGAGAACAATGGTAGTCCCAAAAAGAAGTCTGATTGGAGTAGTTATTTTCTAATGTTCGTAGTTGTTTTTTAGGCGGCCGTGTACAGTCGGCTGGTTCAATAGGAAGCAAATCCGTGGTGAATGTGGAGAAATATCGACTGTCACATACACTCCATACGCACTCGATGGAGGTTTGACTACTACCATGTCTGATTTTTCAGCATCTTCCATGAAATATCGGCTGAAGCTCTCGTTCTTATTAAGGTATTGAGTGTTGAATGGTCTTGTGATGGCCGTTATTTGGCATCAGCTTCAATGGATAACACAGTGGTGGTATGGAATGCGAAGAAGCTGCCAGGTCAGTTACCTAAAGCTGTAATTGAGTAATTTTGCGAAGGAAATTCATTTAAACTTTTCTAGCTGTGGGACCTTCAATATGATGAGCATATAATCGCAGATAGCTTATTTAAAAACTTCTTTTCAGAAAGAATAGTCGTATTGGATGCATCACGTGGTGGGCACAATGGCCCAGTGAAAGGCCTCAGCTGGGATCCAATAGGAAAATACCTTGCCACTCAATCGGCTGATAAGGTTGGTCTTGGAGTCCACTACTATGCTTCACAGCCTCTTATCCCAATTACAGTAATTAGTTGTTTAGTCACTGCGTTTGTGGACCACTGACAATTGGCAGTGCGATACTGTAATAACAAAGCCATTCAGCCAGGTGGGACATTGAGCACTATTTTATTTACTATTTTGCTGAACTTCTTCTTTTTAATGAGTATCGAGTAATATAAAAGTGGATAGTAGTTGAAGTTTCCAGAGCAGTCAAACGACGATGTTCTCACGTCTCGACTGGTCCCCAGATGGGCAGTTTCTCTTCGCCCCGTGTGCGATGAACAATCAGGGACCCACCGCCCAAATCATCATGCGTAAAGAATGGGACACTGAGCTTGATCTAGTAGGCCATCGACGAGTGAGTTTCATCAGATTATTTTTTAATTTAATTTTTTCGTCCTTCTTGGTGGTGGCTATTATTCGTATGACTCTTGGGCTGGAAGATAATGATGGTCTCTATGAATTGCGTGGCTTGAGGCTTTTGTTTCTTCAATGAACATCGGGATTTTGAGTAGAGAATAATTAAAACCAACTCAATCAATGTAGATTAATAGATTAAATAAATATGAGCAAATGAAAGGTGAAGAAGCTGAGAAAAAAATCATTCGGATGAGCTGATGTATTTCATTTTTTCAAGGCTTTGCGCAATGTCAAATTGTCATTTTGTAAAAGGAATTTCTGGGCGAAAAGTTGATCTTGCGAGTCTGGGCTTCCCTGATGACAGCACGGCGTTACCTTCTGATGCGAAAATGGAGAGAGATATCCTCCCTTGTATCATAGGACCATTTCTAGGCTTACTATCCCGCATCGTGCATAGTTCCCATAGCTTAATCTGTTTATTCAGGCGGTGACTGCTATTCGCGTATGCCCTAGCCTTTTATCGTATGTGGACTACAGTGGCAAAACTATTCAGGTAATTTATCTATAAGTGCTGCTGATGCTCTTGCCTCTCCTTCGTGGTGGTCTGAGTAGGGACCTCCAGCAGCCTCTGCTTTGTCTATATTCTTCAGCCTGAATGAATTTTTTGAATTTTTCAGGTAACCTGTATCGCGATTGGATCACGAGACAAGTCCTTGTCGGTATGGGTTCTTCCACGAGTAAAACGTCCTATCGTTGTACTGCAACGTCTGTTCAAGCATTCCGTGACGGATATGTCATGGCGAGGCACTGATTTGGTAGTGTCATCGCAGGATGGCTCCATCAAGTATCTGTCATTCCGTGAGAAAGAACTCGGCACAATGTTATCTCCACAGAAGATGGTTAGTGGATCTATAGGACTTACTGATTTATCGGCTTATTTAATTGTTTATTTTTTTNTTTTTTTATTTATTCATCATTCCGGGAGAAATATATAGAGACTGTTGAAATTACTAATTCGAACGAATCTCCTTCTTCATGATCAACTTCGTTCAAGCCCTTTGAAACCATAGACGAGCGAATTTAGATGAAGCATTTTTTCTGAAATAAAAACCGGTTAATTTTATTTTTAGGGTAATGTGTGCGAATCGCTTTACAAAATCAGACCAGCCCAATACTGTAATCAAAGTAATGGAGTGTCCATAGATACGCCATCGAAAACGAATTCATTCATTGATTCACCAGAAGAATTGATGGCTACCAGAAAGGTTATTTTGATGAACAATTGCGGAAATTCTGCACAAATGATTGCCAGGGGGCTTTTAGGCAGAGGCAGCAGTTCCGAAAGAATCAGCGAAGGCTGCTGAATCGGTAACATCAACACAACGTGCTGCTTCGAAGGCGTTGACGGAGCAAAGGCAACAGCAGATGGAGGTGAGCTGCTGAATATAAACCCAGTCTGAAGAAGTAACAGGCAGATAGACTCCTTCAAAGGCAGTGAAACAGGGTTTTTACGGAGCTTAAGGATAGAGTTCTAAGTTAGATCACCTTAGGCTAGAACTTTGCAATGAGACTGAGTTGTAAAAACTGGGAACAACCTCTGTAGAAAATTGATTTAGCGGTGGTAGATACTAGACTGAGTTCAACTTGATTTTGTTTTTATTTCAATTAATAGTTCCGATCAAGGTCCGTACGTCAGATGGGAAACGTCGTATCCAACCCATATTCCTAGGGTCAACAGTTGATGAAGAACCTGCTCCGCCGCCACCACCCCCTCCTGCACATATGAAGAGCCAGTAAGTCAATTATACTCCAAGGTCTCGAAATCTTATCCCTGGAAGGTCATGCCCCTGTGGTTATGGAAGACTTTTAGAGCTACAAGTCAAGTGGACGAAGCGATGCCATCGGATTCCGATGATGCTAGGTAAGTTGATGGCTTTGTAATAAGTTTAGCCCTTTTTCTTGCGTCAGACTCCCCCGCTACCCTCTCCTACCGTATGCGTGGATGGGAATCATTGAAACTATAACGAAAGACAAGTTTGCATACGCTATTCGTTCCACTGAATGAGAATTTCAAGATGAGCAAATTGGTCGCTCTCGCTCTCCCCTCTGATGGCGATTTCCGATAGCGCTCATCTTGAAACTCTCGTGCCATATACGGGAATCGCTCGGTCTTGCGGTCAATATAATTGCTAGGCACTACGATCAGCAGTGCACTTTTGCAAGATAGATGGCAATTTATAGCATACACGTAAAGCTCTTACTACAGATTGCTGATATTGTTATGTACAACTAAGTTTGTAGTAGATTACAATATCAACAATTTCTGTTGAGGGTCAGTTTTTCAGCCGTTAGAGTCTGATGGATTGATTCTGACGACTTATCCAAGTCAAGAGCTGTGCCAACCTGATCGTCCTTTCTGCTTTTGAGAAGTACGGCATGACTTCCTTTTAAATCCTTCAGAACGACACGCACTAACACTATCCATCCTAAACACTTTGATCTTGTGGAGATGTGGCTGAAAACTCGAATATAATCTTTCCATAAAACTAGTTTATAAATTTACAAGCTGAAATTGAGAGGTATATCATGGTATATTAAGTTGGTTTGTATAAGTTTCCATTAAAGAATCTACAAGGCTCCCATAAGAAAGTCGGATTCTCTACAGTGGAGTTGTTAAGCTGTTCTCACATTCCGTTTACTTTATCCATTGCTTCCCTAACCCAACACGTTCTCATCTAAGCCTTTTTCCCACTCACCCCAAGGGAGCGCTCATATCTCTCAGACGCGGAGTAATCGTGGTTGGCGATTCGTGATTATGAAAGAATGGTCAAGTCCTACGATCTTTGTCGATAGTGAACTGCTCATTTCTGCCTATCTCTACGTCGTAGTTAACAACTACCCAGCATTGCTCGGGTCAACTGGAGGGCTTCGAAGGGGAGTAAAAACCTCTTGGTGAGAGCTTCCGTTGTTTTACATTGCTTCCTATAAAAGTGACTGAGAAATTCGGCTCTGAGCCTGAAGCCATAAGCTTGACTAGAGTCGGTAATACGCACCCCGAATGTTATTCATAGGGGACTCTCAGGAAGTGATTCTCAAAGGTCGAAATATTCGAAAACTTCGAGTAGGTTGTACTACTTCTAGAGATAAATCACCTTCAAAATCCGTGGCTCGATTGGCATCAACAGACGACTCAATGGTGGAAAGTACGGATGATGATGTGGACTCTTCGGATGTGGACGCTAGTGCAAAAGCCGACAAAGAAGCTGCTAACCTTGAAGAATTGAGCAAAAGAACGAAGATGATGATGGCTGATTTCAAGGTGAATCATCTCTAGAACGCTCGACTTTTCTGGATTCGACAATCAAGCCCTGCTTATTCCAGAAACCTATGCTTCGCCCAGTGGATTCTATACGAATCGATGTTACCCAAGCGAATGCGGTTCTGGACGTACCGGAGCAACGAGCGACAATCAGTGAAGGAGTACAGGGAGTGAGTTCAGTCTCCTAACTATCTAAGTGATTATTAGTCGTGCAGCTGTTGTTGGGCTTTGCTTATAAAATATCTCACTTTTACTAAATTGTAATCCTCAAGGCAAAAGTAGTACAAATATTGAATTGTGATTTTTAAGGAACAAATTTTCAGTCTGATTTACAGGTGTTGGGAGACACAATCGAAGTAGACAACGATTGGGTCATGGGTGGTGTACGAGCCAGCCATGTTTCCTACCTTCATTCTCGAACACCCGTTTGGAGTGTCGAGATCGCCCCTACTGTTGCTGTAGTCGTTGCCAACCGGTGAGATCATTATCAAGTAAATGTGGATGCAGTAAGGCACTTACCGTCTTGGTTCATGTGCGGTTTTCGGGTAGGTGCTCATTGAGAGCTCGGTCACAGAGCCAGTTCGGTTCCGTGTCGTCAAGTATTAATGTAAAACTAGGCGTTATCTGGGAGCTCCACGAGTGCAAGCTCTTCTTATTCAGTAGTCGATATAATATAAAAGCGTATGAACTAATTGGTTCCAATCTGATTGTCTTTATGTACTGGTTATCATTGAAATGGTCTTTGATAGCGTCTTTCATTAGGTTCTGGACCATTATCGGATGCTACGATCGTAGTGTTTTCGTGTATTCGAGCACGAATGGCAAAGTGCATTTTCGTAATCAGCTCGATTCGGCGCCAGTTCGTATGGGAATCAATGGTCACAAGATGTATGTGCTCACGCAAACAGGACACCTCAGCACATGGTTGGTTATTTTTCCCATTAAGTACAAATCATGGCGTAGAAATGGATCACATAGACGAAACATGTCTGTAAGCGACGGGCATTTTAGAAGAGGCCCTTGACAAATTGGGTTGGGAAGTTTTCCTGCGAGTAAACGCTGGTCCAACTTCTTCGTTGTGCGCGTTTCTATAACTTATTTTTTGGAAGTAATTGAAGGTTTTTAGGGATATTGATAAAATCAAAGCCATACTGTCTCGTCAATCTATCACTGATTGTGTTGTGAAAGGTTGGCTTTTTATTTAGATTTTTTGTGATATTCAATTTATCCTGCCCTTGCTGTCGATTTTGGCTCATTTAGGTTTACCGTAGGTTTTACTTTATCAGACAAGTGTAAGAAACCTAGTTCTTTGGAACAACATTTTGAAGTCTTCCATTGCATTTCTTATTTTTATCTAATTTATTTTTATTTTTTCGATTATAGTTTTTTACAGTTAATTTTCTCAAAACTGTATTATTCTTAAAATGCACCTTCAGCGTAAAAGGCGATAGTGGAGGGTGGCACAGTATTAAAAGGCGAAAGAAACCAGTTCTCGGATAATCAGTAAAGCTGTGGGATCGTGCCTGAAAACTCACAGTTTACCTTACCTTTCAAATTGTTTCACGAGTTGTCTCTAAGCAGTGGCCCTTCCAATAAGGCAGTTCTTGAGGCTGTACAGCTTACTGTTCCTTCTGGTTTCAGTTTCGGTATAAGAACAAAAGGAGTCCACATATATTGACCTCGCAAATGGTGATTCTACGTCAGCTACTGGGTGAAGCTGGTGTGGTTATATGGGCATGGCATTTTAGGTTGTAGGGCTTATGGATGCCTTCTTGACAGCTACGAATATGATCAGTTATTTATTTAGATGCAAATCTCATGTCGATCTCAGTGACCTCCACTGGAATACCTCTATTGGGATTTTCAACAGGAAATATCTTCACATTCTCACTGGATATGAACTGTTGGTAGGCCTTTTAATAGAAATTTTCTTGCTGTGGAACAACCACTTTAAAGAGCAGCTTGCAGGCAGATTGTGGATTCAATGTCACCTTTGATGAAGCTATGTGATTCAATCGATGCTGACGAACTGCCAGATGGACCTGTAGGAAAACTGCTAAAACGTCGAAAACGGTACGTTGAACGAAAAATCGGGCCTAGTTTGAGTCTTCTCCAAGAGGAAGTGGGAAACTATATTCTTCGTTTAAGGGGGAGGAGTAGGACAAGGTATCCCCGCTCAAACTACCCCCTTCGACAGTCATTCGTCTCCGGGATTGGGAAACAAAGACAGAGAGAAACAGATAAGTAGACGAGAAGGTGGAAGGGAGGATATTTTTAAGAAGGGAAAGGGTGATAAAAATGATTCGATATCGAGACCCAGTTCTTTTTGTGGGCGCAGGGGAGGGGAGTTATTTATGGACTACGTTCTTGCGCCATTATTGACCCTTTGAGAAGTCGTAAGAAAGGCTTAAGGTTTGCTTCTAACGAAAAAAATGTATTTTTTTGCAGACCTGGACTTTTACCGTCTATACCACGAGGTGTCTCATCGTCGGTGAAGGAATCATTACTGGAAGGTTGGCTTTTAGCGGCGAAAACCACCGGTAGCCCCACGGATTTTCGTGGCTTGTTGATGAGCTATGTACAGCAGCTTGTGAGAAACAGTAAGTTTCAACTGTAGCGTTTTTTGAAAATCGATCATGTACTCCACGGATTTTTCGAGAATATTTGTTTTTTTTTTCTGGATATCCGCAATTTCTGGGTTTTTCTTGGGCGAAAGAAGGGTAAGGTTGTACCACGCGTTCGATATGCATGAGTTCTGCAATACAGGCCATTCCCAGCCTGGAGGAATTGCAATCAGCCGGGCATATAGAGGTCCTTTAGCAGCTTCCATCAATACATAACTAGGGATGAAACTGGTTTTACGGTTTTCCTGTAGACCTAGAGAAAGTGATATATGGCGCGGAATACACCTTTCTAGGTTCCAAAGTTTGCCTGAGCCATCCACTGCAATTACTTGTCGCCTACTTGTCATATTTTAGGATCGCTCTCAAAGCTCACTGACGTTCTACATGATCTGAGTGAACCGGGTAGTATTTGTGGAGTACAACGAGGCGCCCTGCGTGCAGATTTGGAGCGAATTGTAGCCTCAGATCCCATAACATCATCACTTCTGACGTCTATGGATTCGAATAGTATGGTGTTTTAGATGTACAGCTTTTTGGCTAGATTTTTTTTGAATAACTCCTATTGATCTCGGTCGATTCTTCAAACTCGCCATTACCGTTGTATGATTATCCACTAGCCGGTATGTAAGGTCTCAGCTCATTGTTCTCATTATCATCAGTGACTTCTCCCGATTGTTTTCCTTGAAACGGGCTCAATTTACTATACTGTATGTTGATTGTTTTATTATATTAACGCTGGATAAAGTTTAAGCTGAACTGTTATAATTGAGGAGCTAAAGAGTTGTTTGGGATAAACATGGGTTCCCCATATTTCTGAGAAGGAATCTGATGCTGTTTTTTATTTACGTTCTAAT